TAGGTGATCATTCTGTTTTTGTAAAGTTTAGACAGGTGGAAGATGGGTTTGAATGGGTACTAGCAAATGTATATGGCCCCAATGACTATAGGCCGAGGAAAAAGTTATGGGAAGAATTGAGTGATATTAGGGGCCTTTGGGGAGGACCATGGTGTGTGGGAGGGGACTTTAATGTAGTGCGGTTCACAGAGGAAACCAACAACTCTAGACAGAGAATGACAACAAGTATGAGGAAATTCAACCAATTTGTGGATACATTTGAGCTGAAATAACTTCCACTCCTAAATAATAACTTCACGTGGTCCAACCTTCAATCAAGGTCAATATGCTCTAAGCTGGCCAGATTTTTGCTCTCAATAGATTGGGAGGAACATTGGGGTAATCTAGCATCTAAGGCACTCCCAAGGCTTATCATTGGCCCATAGTGATATGTAAGGAGGAAATGAGAGGTGATGGACCTACCCCATTCAAGTTTGAGAATATGTGGTTGACCCATCCGGGGTTCATTGAGGAAATCAGAGAGTAGTGGGAATAGTTTAATCCGGCAGTAGACTGGGAGGGAATGAAATTCCACAAGAAACTTAAGTTTCTAAAATCACAAGTAAAGGAGTGGAATAAGTTGGAATTTGGAAGAATAGAGGAAAGAAAACAAGTATTGCTAGAGCAAATTGAGGAATTGGATATAGATAGGAAGTTGAGATGGGATTTGAGGAGGCAAATGGAGGATATTCTAGTTAAAGAGGAAATAAGTTGGAGGCAGAAATCTAGGTGTAAGTGGCTAAAGGAGGGTGATAGAAACACTAGATTTTTCCATTCAGTGGCAAATGGTAGGAGGAAAAAGAATTTCATATCAAAATTGGAAGTAGAAGGATCATTTTTATCCCACCCGGTAGAAATTGCAGAGGCCTTAGTAAATTGAAAGCTAAATTACTGTAGCCGAAGTAGCAAAAAAGAGAAGAAGAAGAAGAAGAAGAGATGCTGGAATGTCGAACTGCACTGCTCAGTCGACAATACTATTATTTATATTATGGTGTAGTACAATGATACAGGAAGTTACTAGAATGCCCCTGATTAGTGATGGGACACCTTGACAACTTAAAACATTAAACAGGATTAGGCCCATTAACAAAGGCCCAGTACAGGACAACTTAAAACATTAAACAAGATTAGGCCCATTAACAAAGGCCCAGTACAGGACAA